GAAGCCACCCCTGTAACCCCCCCGCTACCAGGACCTTGCCACACAGACCCGTTACAGGGATTTATGCCTCACAGCATGGGGATTTCATACAAATAGATGAAGTTGGTTTCAGCAGTGCAAAGTGACATTATATTATGGGCAAATGCATTGTTTTTCTTGCAAAGGATGAACAGTATCAGTAAAATGTAACAACCTGAGAAAACATGGGGCCAGGTTCTTCGGTAGAATAGATAAATGTATATATATATTGAAGGTATGAGGGGGGAAAATAGACAAATGCTTTTAACAGAGAGGGAAAACTGCTCTTAAAAGAAAAAAAAAATGTGTAAGCTTATTTCTTTAACAAAATCAAGTCCCCCTCCCAAAAAACCCGCTTCTTTGCTTCTGTTTTAGATAATCTAATGAGGCCCCTTAAGAACTATGGAATCACGTGGTAAGCATATGTTTTCATTTAAATCAAGCTTCTTTACAGATGTACTTAGTACTGTGCTGGAAAGCTTAAGTTTTTGCTTTAATGTTTCAGCATGTCTATGGGTTTCTTGATAGAAGAGACTACCCCGGTTGTGTGGAGAGGGCTCATGGTAATGTCAGCTGTTGAGAAATTGTTGAGACAGGTAAGGACTTTGGTACATGTTTGTGTTTCAAACTAATTGTTTATTTTAAAATGCATTTGACTGATACATGAGTGTCTATGACATTATTTCATATATTAGTGGTGAGTGTTTTTGTATCTTGGTCTTCTTAAATTCTTAAGAATTTCATCTTAACTTCAGGTGAGAGGGAAAGTTGACACTTTTTGTGTTTACCTTCCATGCATTTGATGAGTGAATCACTCCAATTTCCCTTCCTCCTCATTCCTTTTTGTTTGTTTATGCAATTTTTTTTTTTTTTTTTAAAAAAAAGGGTATTTTGGAGTTGCCTGGGGATTTGAATGTATAGGTATCTCTGCAGCTGTACTCCCTTATGTGCTTGTTAATTCACCAGCACTAAGAATTCTTGGATGGCATTTGACATATGACAGGTACACGAAAATCATTAGATACAATCTCTGTGTAATGCAGATAGATTGTTAGTTAATAAATTTCCTGGCATATGGAAGTGGGGTGGCTTTTTTATTTCTTGACAGATTTTTTTTTTCCCTTTTATTGTGAATAGATCTGTGAAGTGCTAATGAGACAAACAGCTGAAAAAAAAATGCAATAAGGGTGCATGCTTAGACTTTGAAGTGACCCAGATTGTTCACGGCTGACATCCATTCCAGGGATTTAATGCATACAGCTTTGAGATCACTAGGTTTCGTATATCTTTTGTAAATGCCTACAAATCTTGTGCTCCCTTAATGACTGAAAAGAAGATTATTATTTTTTTTTTCCCTCGCCTTTTTTCCATTTTTACTGAATTCTCGTATAACACAGACTTTAGAGTAGTGGCAATCATTGTCCTGGTCAGAAAAGCCATGTGTCTGCCAGGAAGAACACCTTTGTCAAGATTTGGCCTTTAAAAATAAGAGGTGTCCATGCCAATAGCTGTGGAAGGCTGTTCTGACCTCTTTGTGCGTTGCATTGCAGTGGCCAGCCTCACAAAGACTAGAGCCTAAAACCTCAAAGGTAGAGGTACAGTTAGCAACTGCTGCATTGGTGTATTCTACCCTGGGAGACTGAAGACTGGTAGGCACTCCAGTGCCGTTACTCCCATCAGTGGTACCCCCAGATAGGAAGCGTGTGCCAGCATCCTTGTGGAGGGTGCGAATGATGCCATATAACGAGCTCGTTACTCCCTAGCAACCGACAACGCAGTTTCATGCTGGCTGGATCATGCTGTAGGAATGAGACAGAGTCCATTAATGCTCAGGGCATCAGTGATTTCCCTGACAGTGGAACCTGAATTCTGAAAAAGGAAGCCTTTATAGCTAAGTTTCTTCTCCCCCAAGCATTTTGCTTCTGCGTGATAACCAGGGTAGTATTACATCTGTGCTGGAAAAAGCTGTTTGCATCTCCTCCTTTGAAGAAAGAAGCTCACACATCACAGGGAGAACCAGCAGGTTCTATCTATACTGGTGGTTTTCAGAAAGTAACTAACAAATTATCCAGACTAATACATGCTATTTTGCTTTTAAAACCTGTTATGTCCCTTCTGATATAGTTACTAGGAAGTCTCAAGAAGGAGTTAACTGTAGAACCAATAGTGTTATAGCCTTGGACACCTAAACAAGAGAGGACCACAGCATGTGATGATGTTTTAATCATTCCATTTTGTATTAGAAATAGTTTTGTGGTATGTTGGGGCCTTTGAAATTTTTCTTTGTTTCCTCTTTATCTGTTCTGGTTGGTCTTAGCTATTATCTTTTGTTTGACAGGATAAAGTTGCTTGTAAGAGTAAAATACTTTTGCTTGTATTTAACTTTCTAAAACCACGTTCTCGAGAACAGCTGCTTTACCTCTATAGCCACATATAAACCATTTAAATTAGCTCCTTAATCTAGATCTATAGTAGAATATAAGTTTAAGGAGTTTGTGTGCATTCAGACAAGCTGATAAAAATATGAAGTTCTGAAAATATTGAAGTCAGCTAGATGGAAAAGATACAGATTCCCAGACTTTTGCATTAAAAATGCTGGTGGTGTTTTGTAATGATGTTTAATGTTAGATGGTGGAGGGTTTTTTTGGTTTGTTTTAAGAGCATCCAGACTACGTGTTCACTCTGTAAATAACTTCGGACGCTTTTTTGTTTTTTCCCGTATGAACAAATCTGTTTTCCAGAGTTAATCACGCTTCAGGTACTCCAATAAAGCATTGAAGGGCCTAGTTTCCAAATTCATTAATGGGGACTTGTTAACTCATTAACTTGTTAACTCCTTATTGGTCTGTGCCTGTAACAAGTATTTAAATGCTTCTCTTACGCTTGCAACTTATTTGAATTTCTGGAATTCTTACTTTGGAAAGTACATTTGTTAAATTTATACCTTATGTGTTTTCTTATATACTTACTGTGTGTAACCTCACTTTTTGTAATTCGTGTATGTTTGTCCTTCTCTGGTTTTCCTTTTTTTGGTGGATGAATGGCTTTTCAGCACAGTCCAGAGTCCAATCTCATCTTTGTCTCTTTGCACTTCTACTTGCATATAGCCAGGATGTACATCGCTTTTCAGATAAAACACCACCTTTTAAATCCAGGCTTTGCTTTTGCCACATGTCTAGTCTTAGAAGCTTTGTTGTTGTGTGTTGTATGGTGTCATACTGGTAGGTAACAGGTGTAATGTTGAAGACCAAAATTAGTGCTCAGTGTTTCTTTGATAATCCATATCTCACAAACAAGGACAGTTTTTTTTGCAACACATCATATCATTTTCCTTAAACAGAGTTTGAAGGAAATGTGCCTTATAATACAAAATCGTTAAGTTTAGTATACTATATTACATACATTGCATATGTTGATGTATGTGTATCAAATGAGTACGTAAATGAAAATATATAGCATATTGATTCTATAGCATGTCCTACTTTTAATAGAAGTATTGCTTAACAGAAAAGAAGGAAAGGGATGATAAGTTATTGAAAGAACAAGAAAAACCAACAGAAATAATTTTTTACCTGTAGTGAAAGTGAGTTACAAGCAATAATGGAATAATTGATTCTATGTAAACATATTCATAATTCTTTCAGTTAAATATATCTCTAGTTTACATGCCTTGAAATTATCTGATGTTTTGTTATGGCTGAGAAGTGACTTCTTCATTCACATAATTAGATGTATTGTAGGCCCATTTACACTGCAGTGTGATGATTTTTTTTTTTTCTCTTATTTGGGTTTTAACTTTTCCCATTTCCCTGCCACAGTTATCTTCATGTAAAAATTCTTTCACCTCTGTTAACACTACCTTTAAATCTTGCTTGCCTGTAGGTGAGAGAGAAGGCTATTTTTATGTTTACTTGAGTTTTTTGAAAGGTAGTTCTTTTCTCTGAAGGCATCATTAAAGCCCAGGTAAGGAAGTTTTGATAGTTCTTCAGTGCCATCTGTAGCACTAACCTTTTTTCTATTCAGATTTTTACTTAACATGCACTTCAGAAGCTGCTTACTCTTTTGTATAGTCCATTCAGCATTTATTCCTTTACTCTGTTTGTGTCTTGACTCAGTGCTATGGTACTTGGTTCAGATTAAACAAACTACCTCAAAATGTATCATCTTGGTGTATCTGTTGTGGGAGCGACTTCTGATTAGCTTTTAGGCTAAGTACAGTAAAGATATGATTTTTTTTTGGGGGGTTACCTAAAGCCTGCACTTGAACAGTAATGTGTCTGGAAAGCTGTCTTGAAGAGTAGACAGCTGAGAACCTTAGAAATATAAAGACTATTAAAAAAAACCAAACAAACAAAAGCAAAACTTGTTCACTGGTTTAAACTGCCTTTGCAGCGAGGATGGTGATCATCACCGCTGTATGGTATGTTTTCCAGCACCATTGTTATTTCTGACTTGAGGACATCTTGACGGTTCAGTGGCAAAGAAGCAATTAAAAGGGTGCAGGCACAATCTTGAACTGACCAGGAGCAGTATGACTGACTGCTGTACATTCTGGAGTATATTGTGGCAATTGTTCTGCCAAAAGGTTGGGGGAGAGGAAGTGTCACCATGTTGGCTGCCATATAGTCATAGCAGCAATACAGATGGAGGGGGTTTCTTTAGGCAGTAAAACTTTTAATACAAAGGATAATAAGTGTTGGTTTCTCTGATCTTGAACTGTATTTTACTTTATGTGTGTTACCAAGTTGAAATATCAGCAGAGAAGGAAAAAAGTTGAATATGTGGTAGACAAGTCAGCTTTTTCTATTAAAAAAATAAAAATGGGACTACAGGTAAAATGCAAGTGCATATTTAAGCATGTAGTGTTCTCCTTGTATCTTTGTCATATCAATAGATAAAGTTGTATCACTCTTAGAAGCAAGCTTACACGACATGGATTATAGATGTCAGAAATTCCATTAAATGCAAATAGTCCTCTTGGAACTAGCCCAAAAAACCTGCTCTTTTCAAGGCAAAGCTCTCTGGTTGATTAACATCCTTAGCAGGATTTCTTACCTGGACATGACATTTTAACCTATGTTTTTGCTGCTTAGTCAGATCTTACATGGCAAAACTCTTCTACTTCTTCCTTATCATGCTTCTCTAGAGTATCAAGAACATTTTGTGCATTGGCAACATCCTTTACAATATGGCTGTAAAGTCCAGCCTCAGCTGTTAAGTGTATTTTGAGCTCTAAACGTTCCTTAGATGTACCTGATCAGGATGAACACATTTCACCAGAAAGAGGTGAAGCTTTTCCTGGAGTGGTTCAGTTCTAATGAGTCCCTAAAATACTCTTCTTATCTAATTGTAATTCCACCATCTCTTTCTTGCTGCTTCTTTTAGCAGTGCTTTAGTGCCTCTGTTTTATAAAAGGTATGTATTGGAAGAAAATTAAAATAAAGCAAAGTTTCACTGGGAGGGCTATAATTGGAAAGGAAAGAATACAGGGATGTTAGCAGAGAGCAAATTATATAAAACTTCCAATGCAGAGCAGTTGCGCGTGAGCAAAAAGAAATGGTGCCTTCCACTTTGAAGCATGGACAGGCATTATCCC